TTACAAGTGCATCGACACCTCTTTGTGGTTTGGCAGTTGGTGGAATTAATACATCTCTTGCATTAGTTTCTGTCACTGGTGCTGGAGAACCAGGGATGTCAGACGTAGAACTTGAAAAATAAGTTCTTTCATTTACAGGTGTCCTAGGATTTTCTCCATTGATTTCCTCCTGTTCCTTTAGTCTTTTTCCAGAGAGTATGAGTGAATCCGCGTCAAAGAAAGATTCTCTCACCTGTGCAGTGTATGTTCTCTTCTGCTGCTTTTTTCTTCTCCCTGGCAGCTTACTCTGCCTTTTCTCAGAGCCACTGACCTGGTAGGGAAAATGTTCTTGGATATCACCTGTTCTTTGTATATGTAATTCCTCCACAGGGCCATGTCTAGGGTTAAAGGACTCAGGCTCAATGTCAAGTGTGATAGGTGTCTTTTCTCCAGTTTCTTTATCCAGATGGGTGCTGATTTGTAATGTGTCACAAGGAGATACTTTATTTTTAGGTTCTGAGAAAAAAATTATATAATTAATAATTTCCTTTTAAATGAAGCAAAAAATATCCCATTATTTATTTTAAAATATTATATTAAAATACTACATTTATTTATGAAAGAGTCAATGGTATTTCATTCAGGCAGATCAAAGTTCAAATTTTTAATATTCTAATACACTAATAATTTTAAGTAAATGTAAAAAACAGAATTGTGCTGGAAAAAATGATTTTAAACTAAAAGATAATTTATTCTTTATTGCAATCATCTTTCTTTAGTTTTTGACTCCAGCTTTACTGAGGTACAATTGACAAATAAAATTGTACATATTTAAGTTATACAATGAGATGTTTTCATATAGGTATACATTGTGAAATATTACCACAATCAAGCTAATTAAAATATCCATCATTTTTGGGTGGCTCAGTCGGTTAAGCATCTGACTCCTGATGTTGGCTCAGGTCATGATCTCAGGGTATAGGATCAAGCCCTGTGTTAGGCTCAGTACTCAGTGGAAGTCTGCTTGGGATTCTCTCTCTCCCTCTCCCTCTACCCCTCTTCCCCACACTCTCTCTCTCTCTCAAATAAATAGATCTTAAAATATATATATATAATATATATATACATCATTTCACATAGTTATGATTTTGTGTGTGTATGTGTGTGGAGGGAACACTTAAGATCAGTTCTCCTAGCAAATTTCAAGTATATGACACAGTATTATTAACTACTATTTCCATGCTGTATATCAAAGCTGCAGGACTTATTCATTCTGTATAACTGAAACTCTGTACGCTTTGAACAACACCTTCTTCATTCTGTATAACTGAAACTCTGTACCCTTTGAACAACACCTTCCCATTCCCCCTACCATCTCACCTAATTTTTTATTTCATGTCCTTTTTTTTTTGCTCAAGTAATTTTAATAGCCTCCAATTTTATGATTATAAATACCTATTAACATGAGTAATGACCATTATTTTTTAGAATGCTTCTGGCCAGACTTTTTTCTCTGTACATATATAAATACTTATTTTTTAAAAAATCATCTTTCCAATATTTACACAATAAATATAATTTCTAAAAGTTGAGAGGGGAAAGAGCAACTAAACAAACAATCCAACCAAAAGAATAGTTCACAGCTCACAGGATGGGGAAAAATATTTACAACGTATCTGATAAGGATCTAATAGCTAGAATATATTAAGAACACTTAAAACTCAACAATAAAAAGGCAAATAATCTAATTAAAATATTGGCAAAGGACTTGAATAGATATTTCTCTGAAGAAGATATACAAATGGCCAATAAGCACATGAAAAGATGCTCAATATCATCAGTCACTAGGATGTGCAAATCAAAGCCATAATTAGATACCACTTCACATCCACCAGGATGGTTATAATTTTAAAAATGGAAAATGACAAGTTTTGGTGAGGATGTGCAGAAACTGGAACCCTTGCGCATCGTGGTAGGAATGTAAAGTGGTACTGACGTTGCAGGAAACAGTTTGGCAGATTCTCAAAAGGTTAAACAAGAGAATCACCATATGACCCAGCACTTCTGCTCCTAGGTATAAACCCGAAAGAACCGAAAACATACATCTCCACAAACACTTGCATATGAATGTTCATAGCAGCATAATGGCCAAAATTCATAATAACTGAAAAGTAGAAACAACCCAAATGTCCATCAACTGATGAATGGATATATAAATTGTGGCACATCTATCCAATGGAATAGTATTCAGCTGCACAAAGAAGTGAAGTACTGATGCATGCTTGGATGTAAGTACAGAGGGATGACTGTTGAAAACATGATGCTAAGTGAAAGAAGTCAATCACAAAAGATCACATATTATATGGCTCCATTCATATGGAATGTCCAGAATAGGTAAATCCACAGAGGCAGAAAGTAGATTAGTGGTTTCCAGGGTTTGGCAGTAAGATGGGTACAGGGTTTCTTTTTGGGGTGGTAAAAATTCTGGAATTAGATGATGATGATGGTTTGCACAATCTTGTGAGTACACAACGAACCACTGAATTATACATACGCTTTAAAAAGAGTCTATTGCTTGTTCTATCTTTTGGTTATGGAAAAAAAAAAAAACCACAACCAAATATACCTGGAAAATGAATAATAAAGTAAGCATAAGTAAATGGCCTAACTTTACCTGAGTGGTTTAGCTGTGGTGAAATTTCCTGCTGGAGCAAGCAATCATGTTCTTCCACTGTTTTTTTAATAGAATTCTTAACCTTCTCAGCTCTTTGGGCACGCTAGAGAAAACAAAAGCAGCTCAAGGAACGAATTTAAGAAAAAGAAGTATCTTTTTAAAGCTTTATTATTACGAAGAATTGTTTGTATATAGTTCATCCTATACAATACCTCAGTTTGAGAGAATAAGATTCACTCACCTGAAGGCGGGCCAGTGTCTTGCTGTATTCCCTTTTCAAGAATGCTAATTTTTCCTTCAACTGGAAGAAGAAAAACAGCAAACAATACTGAGCAGGTAGAAAGGAAGAGTCAGAGAGAATGGACACAGTGCCTGTCAGGCCCAAGTAAGCAGTGCTTAGCAGGTCCCTCAGCAATAGACAGAGGGAGTAGCAGGTGTCCACACTACTTTCAGTTCTCACAAAGCACCAAGCTCTCCAACACCTAAGCACCTTTACCTAAACGGTTCCTACCACCTGGAGCGTTTCCTCCCCAGCTCATTTTGCTAAGTCCTACTGATTCCTCAAGCCTCAACTTAGATTTTTATTCCCCCAGGGTAGACTTCTAGGTCCTTCCTGAAATCCAGGTGGGACATTCCACCTCTCCACTGTGCTTCCTTTATCACAATACTTATTATATACTATGCTGTCTATTTACTTCTGTTTCCCTCCATCTCACTGTGAGATCCCTTAAGGTGGCCGGAGCTGTCATCCTCAGACATTCGTCCAACAAATGAATTTCTTGTCAGTTAATGGTCCAGGTATCTGTAGTCCCTGGAACAATAACTGGTAACCACTCTCAATTACGGTCTCAGATGCTAGAACTAGAGTTGTCAAGCTTACACACAAGTTAGGGATACAGATAATTAACAAGAAAACGAATACATAGACAAGATGATATCACATGGTAATCAATACCCAGATCAACAGGGAGATGTGAGAGTGCCTGAGCCACCTTAGGTAGGGTGGCCAGAGTGGCATTTCTGAGGACTTCCGTTCGAGCCCAGACCCGAAGGAGCAAGGAGCTAGCTTTGGGAAGATCAGAGGGAAAGCAATTTGTCCAAGATCACACAGTTTATCAATGGAATGATCCAAACCCAGGTAGCTGGATTCTACAATCTGTGCTCTTAATCTCTATGCTAGTTTGCTTCTCCCAGGGTCCTCTTTATCACCAACCTTATCAACATTTAAAAACTATCTTGTTGACTTGTAAATGACCTATCTCACCCTCCACGGGAAGGTAGGCTTGGATAAGAGGACTGATGAGCTAATATGAACAAAGAGTCTAGCACAATGCCTAGAACAGCCAGCACAGATACATTCAGGCTAACATCATAAGCAGGAGCACAAGGTGGCATGGGTAAGGATTGGTCAGAGCAGCACTGCTGTAGAAGCAAAAGCTGGAAACAACCTAAAAGTCTCTCATTAATGTCTAATGAAAAGATGGCACTTCCATAATACATAACACTATACAGAACTTTAAAAAGTAAGGTAGCTTAACATGAAGTAACATGGATGAAACCTGGAGAAGTAAAATGGAAGTTGCAGAACCATTCAGCTCATACCATTTGTGAACAAAAAATACACACTACTTTTTGGTGGTTAGGGAATATAACCACAACCTTCCAAATCACCCACCTCCGTCCACCACACACACATACACGCGCGAAAAGATCTGAAGCATCAAGCTGTTCAGAGATCTAAAGGGAGCGGGTGGGAGAAGCCAAGATTGATAAGAGTGTGTGGGGTTGGGGAGAATATCAAAGGGGACTTTGGCTTTATCCAGATTTTTACGTTTCGTATTTATGCATCACTGCTCTAAGAAAATTTGTTCTTTAAATGCCTCCACGGGAGCACAGGGCTCTTCATATTTTCATTCCCGGTGCCCGCTGAGTCCAAAGAGCGTAGGTCAGAGATCACTGCCACCCCCGGACGGTAAAATCCTAGGCAAGGAGTCACTTCCGAGTCAGCCCTTCCCGCATACCCAGGGCACCTTTTCCTTCTCCTCACAGCTGAGGGGCTTCCCGGGAGGCTCTTCCATTGGGCTGGCGGCCGAACGGAAGGAGCAGCCGTCGCCGGCCCCGGGCCTGTGCACACGAGGGCTCCGGCTGGCCCTGGGCCCCGGAGGCGCCCAGGAAAGAAACCGGGCGCCCAGGACACCCCCGGCGCGCCACCAGCTTGCACATGCGGGAACCGCGCGCCGTCTCCCCCGGCCAATTACATCCACCCCTCGGCCTGCGCACGCGCAGCTGGAGACGGCCGAGCAATGGAGCGGGGCCGCCTAGCGGAGAGCCGAGCTGTGGAGAAGAGCGGAGGGCGCCCAGAGCGGAAGTGGAGGAGCGGCCGGAAGTAGCCTGAATCCCAGTCTGACTGACCGGCTGACAGGCTTTGACAGGAACCGGAGCTGCGAGAAGGAGTTGGTGGCCATGGAGTTGGGCGAGCTGCTTTACAACAAGTCCGAGTACATCGAGACGGTGCGCGTGTCTAGACATCTGCCCTCTCTTTTCCGAGCCTGCGTCCCTTTGAGGCTGGTGTCCCCATCCTGTCCCTGCCCCACCCTGGGTCCCTTTGGCGTTTAGTCCGAGATTACTTAGATCACTTAGTGAATGCCTCAGCTTTGTTATTTATTCCTTGCATGGCCAGTTTAGGCTTTTTTACTTATTCCTGATTTCCTAAAGATAAAATGCCTTCCAGAAAGCCGGACAAATCTCATCCACCTTAGTATCAATAACAACTCCAGGCTTCGGGCCTTTCGGAAGGTTTTTTTTAAACTAACGTGTCGTAATTTATTACTGTGTGCTAAAAGACGGTTAGGTCCTTTATAGTCAATACATGATGTGTGTAAATTGATCGAAGTAGGGTACGTGCTCAGTCCGCGTTGCTATGAATTCTTGCAGCTCTGATATCGGTTAAGTCATTATCCTGGATATAGAACTGAAACTTGAATCCCCGTGTCTGATGTTATTAGGCTCTAGACCTACCACATCCAAATTCTGGATCCCTTCTTGGAATCCGTAGTTTCCAAATCCATCCTTGCTTTGATATCCTGTACTCATTCCATTGAGGACTTGGCCCCGTTTCAAGTCCTTTCCTCTCCAGTAGCAGCTTTCTTGATGGAAACCTGTAGTCCAGAATCCACTCAGTTTGCTTATCCCCATTTTCTGCTCTTTGCTTTCAGGCATCTGGAAACAAAGTTAGTCGCCAGTCCGTATTGTGTGGAAGTCAGAACATCGTTCTTAATGGCAAGGTAAGGGACCAAGCCAGTTCCAGGATGCATACCTTTGCTTTCTTTCCACTAATTATCACATTGGGAGGGCAGATAATATGTTGCCATATCTCCCATTTATTGCTGTACATTGAAAAATTCTCTTTTTAATTCTCCAAATTTTATTGAATCCGAAAAAGATTCAATAAAAGGAGGCAACAGAAAACCTTTTCCCCTTTATGCCAGGAATGGTATACCATGGCACCCAGAACTGAAATTATTTTAAAGTATTGTGGTGTGCCCTAAACTACTGGACACAAACATAAATAGGCAACAAAATATTTTAGTGTAGAAGCTGTAAAGTATAGTAGTATAATGAACTGTTTAGTAATAATGATTCAGCATTAACTGAAACTCTTAAAATTAATTTGAGAATGGGGGGGCTCATTCGGTTAAATGTCTGCCTTTGGCTCAAGCCATGATCTCAGGGTCCTAGGATTGAGCCCCAGTCATGCTCCCTGCTCAGCGGGGAGCCTGCTTCTCCCTCTCTGCCTCTCCTCCTGCTTGTGCGCTTTCTCTTTCTGTGTCAAATAAATAAATAAAATCTTAAAAAAAAGAGAGAATTGGAAAAGACACTAAACTATGAAACAGATTTGCAAAATGGAATATGAAAAGCTGAGAATTTGTAGTCTAAATAAACTGAAATAGCAGAGAGATGAGTATAAACTTGGGAATAATATTAGGACATTTCAGAACCAGAGAAAATATCAAGATATATTTGAACTTGACAAACACTGAACCCATAGTTTTTCCTGCCATTTTTCTTTAAAATGTTACATCTCTAACTTCAAAGGGAAAACAGTCTCACTATAATCAAGCAATCATAAATTTTTTCAGTAGAGACACAATTACTATCTCCATTAGCTCATCATGAGATTTAATAGAAAGAAATATAGTTCAGTAATTAGGTATAACTAGTAATTAAAGACACACTGTTCCTGCACAAAATTAGAAAATTCAGTTAACCCTAATCTGACTCATTAGCAAATGTGTGGAGTTTTTTGTTTTTTTTTTTAAGATTTTATTTATTTATTTGACAGAGAGAGACAAAGCAAGAGAAGGAACACAAGCAGGGGGAGTGGGAGAGGGAGAAGCAGGCCTCCCGCTGAGCAGGGAGCCTGACGCGGGGCTCGATCCCAGGACCCTGAGATCATGACCTGAGCCGAAGGCAGATGCTTAACGACTGAGCCACCCAGGCGCCCCAGTGTGTGGAGTTTTTAAGAAATCCCTAAGGTGGGCATCTGGGAAGGCTGCTTCTCCCTCTCCCACTCCCCCTGCTTGTATTCCCTCTCTCACTGTGTCTCTCGCTCTCTGTCAAACAAATAAATAAAACCTTAAAAAAAAAAAAAGAAAAAGAAATCCCTCAGGTAATTTCAAAACATTTTCTGTGATTTTGTAGGGAACATTTCTTTATTAAATTGTGATAAAATATATGTGACAAAATTTGCCACTTTAACTGTTTTTAAGTGTACGATCCATTGGCATTAATTATATTTACAGTTGGGGTGCCTGGGTGGCTCATTTGGTTGAGCGTCCTACTCTTGATCTTAGCTCAAGTCTTCATCTCAGGGTCATGAGTTCAAGCCCCGCATTGGGCTCCATGCTGGGTGTGGAGCCTACTTAAAAAAAAAAAATTCTATTTACAACCATTGTGCAATCATCACCACTATCTATTTCTAAAACTTTAATCACCCAGACAGAAGCTCTATACTCATTAAGGAATAACTCCCTGTTTCCTCCCCATCTCCCTACCCGTCTCCCCACCCCTGCCCCCCACACCCCGCCTAGTCACTAATAACCTCAATCCACTTCCTGTCTCTGTGAATTTGCCTATTCTAGATATATAATATTTGTCCTTTTTTGCCTGGCTTATTTCACTTAGCATAATGTTTCAAAGTTCATGTGTGTTGTAGGATGTAAACTAATACATATATACACGTTTACATCCATGTAAACTATATACGTATATAGTTTAGCTTTACTTGGCTTTCTGTTACTTACTTTTTTTACACTCACTTATAATAACCACAGTAGGAAACACCTACCACACTAAGTACCATTGTTCTCAATTCTGTTTCTGAGATTCACTGTGGTTTGTGCGTTTTCACTACTGTGTACAGTTCCATTTATCCCCTCTCCTACTGGTTATTTTGTTCCCAGTTTTTTGTTTTGTCCCTTTCAGAACTGTGAGATGTCTATTTTCCTAAACCCTTATATGAGGTGTTATAGTGCCTGCAGGGATAGGCAAGGATCAAATGAGTAAGGAAGACTGGGTGCCAACAACAGAGAGTGGCGGGGCCTGGTGAATTGAAGAATACTTGTCCTAGCTAAGCTCAAGCTGATTGTTGCCATGTGGGAATATAGGCCTATATTTTCTCAAAACAAATTGGAAATCTGGATTTTTTTAATGCAAAATGTCCTGCTATTCAAATAATAGCATTAAATTCAAATGATGAAACAAGGTGCATGAGCCAAACAAAACAGGTTTCTGGGCACAGTTCTTAGACCTCCAGCTTCCCACCTCTGCCTCATCTTTTGTCGAGTTCAGTGAACTCTGCTCTACTACCATATTCTTCCCTGTGAGGTCCTTATGTGCACTCACTTTCATTTTAACATCCTGCTGCCTCTCTTTTGAATCTGACTTCTCATCTTCAGCTCCATTCTTTATGAGATAGGAAACCAGGATTTGAGTCCCTCATGCTAAATCTCTTTGACCTCCTGTGATTATCCATTACTTAATGTTTTTCATGTTTGCTTCTTCAAATGGGAGTGTAATTTAGGCTGCCTGAGGGACTTCTGTGGATTTTCTTTATTTCCAGATTAAGATTGCTATCTTTGTTTAAAACACAGTAAAACAAAAACAACCATTACCAAATACTCAGAACTCTTGGTATTCTGCTTTCTTCCAAAGAAAAGGAAGTCATTTTCTCTGATTGTAGATGGAAGCATAAACAGAAAACAATGATTAAAGTAAATGAAGGATTTCAGATGGAAGAGTACATACTAGAAACAGATATCTCTTTAAACTTGAAGGAGACCATTTTTAAAAACCAAGAGGAACTGTAGTCCTTTATAGTCAGCAGCTGATGAGAAATTGTCTTTTTACTGATAGAGGTTTTATAGACCAAACATATGCAGGTGAGATTGGTAAACTCTTCGAAGTATGAGCCCACTTCTTTTTTAGTAATTTCTCAGAGCCTCGTGTTCGGGTTAGTGACATATCTAAATTCACCTGTATATGTCAGGTTAGTGACATATCTAATTTCACCTGTATTCCCCATCTACCTCTTCTATCCTGGGCCCCAGACCTTCATTTCAACTGCCTGTTGGTCTTCCACAGGTACCTCAAATAGCATTTCACAATTGAATTTGTCATCCAGTCCAGTCCCCAGAATCGCTTACCCCATTCTAAACTCTCATCCTAGATTCCCTTTCTCTCTTTCCCCAATATCAAAACAATGACCAAGTCATATAGATTCTCTTCCCTTTTTTTCCATTTTTAACATTTTATAGTGGAACATTTATTTTAAAGATTTTATTTATTTGAGAGAGAGAGTGGGCAAGAGAGAGCATGAGGCAGGGAGAGGGCCAGAGGGAGAGGGACAAGCAGACACCCCGCTGAGCAGGGAGCCCGACGCGGGGCTTGATCCCACGACCTCGAGATCACGACCTGAGCCGAAGGCAGACGCTTAACCTACTGAGACACCCAGGTGCCCCTCTAGTGGAACATTTTAAAAGTTATCTTTATTGAGACATAATTACATACAATGAATTGTACCCATTTTAAGTGTGCAGTTTGACAAGTTTTGGTGTTTTTTTTTTTAAGATTTATTTATTTGAGAGAGAGAGAGCCCAAGCAGGGGGTAGGAGCAGAGGCAGAGGGAGAAGCAGACTCCCCACTGAGCAGGGAGCTTGATTTGGGGCTCAATCCCAGGACCTTGGGACCATGATCTGAGCTGAGGCAGATGCTTAACCAACTGAGCCATCCAGGCGCCCCTCAGTTTGACAAGTTTTGACTGATGCTTACACCTATGCAACCACAATTAAGATATAAAATATTTCTATCACCCTCATTTCCTTGGACCCCTCTGCTGTCAGTCCTCCTACTACCCTTGGCCCCAGATAACCACTGGTGTAAGACCAATAGAGTTTACTTTCGCATTTTCTAGAGTTGCCTGTAATGGGAATCATGTACTCTTTGTTGTCAGCCTTCTTTCACTCAGCATAATGTTTTTGAGATTTATCCATGTTGTGTACATTAGTGGATTAACAATTCATTACTTTTTATAGATGGGCAGTATTGTTATGCAACTTTTAAGACATGTACCAAAGTAGAGAGAACATATAATGAATCTCCATATACTCATTCACCAGCTTCTGCAGTTAGCAATATTCTGACGTCCTTGTTTCATCTCTGTACCTGCCCCACAAACCCATACCTATTTTGACCAGGGGCAGGGCAGGGAGTTGGGGTATTTTAAAGCAAATTGCAAACACTGTATTATTTCACCCATAAATACTTTAATATATATCACTAAGATTTAAAGATTTTAAAAAATGAGTAGAGTACCCTTATCATGATATATTTTTTAAGAAGCCAGTTATTTCCTACTATCACCTAATCCTCTGTCCATGTTCAATCTTTCTAGTATCTTAACATGTCTTTTTATAGTTGGTTTATTCAAATCAGGATCCAAACAAGGTCAAGTACACATTGCATCTGGTTGATATATCTCTCAGGACTCTTTAAGCCTGTAACAGTTCTTTTCCCCCAGCCTGTTTTTCTCTCCATCCCACTTATATGTTGAAGAAACTGGGTCATTGTTCTGTAGAATTTTCAAATTTTGAATTTGGTCAATTCTATTTCCATGGTTGTTGAATGCAGTCTTTCTGCCCCTCTCCTCCCTCTTAATTAGTATATCTGGAGGCTTGATCAGATTCCTCTACCTTGTATTTCTCTTTTCTTCATGCACAACTATTGTCATAGAGAAGGCCCATTCTCTCATTTTACCTTGATCCACTGTAGTCATCTAAAGTGTCACTTTCCCTCCAGTCTTACCTGCCCTCTCCCTTCACTCTAGACTGCTTTCAGAATAACATTTCTAAAATGAAGATTCAGTGTGTTCTGCTTAAAAAGTTTGATTCCTTATATCCTCTAGGGAAAAAGCCTAAGCTTCTGTACTCGGTATACATAATGCCTCATAAGCCCTAGGCCCAGCTTACTTGTCCAGCTGTAACCCCAGCCATATGCAATTTTATTTTTTTTACCCCATTTATTCAAAAGACATTTCCAGAATGCCTACTCTTTACCAAGTATGGGGCATTAATTCCCCCAAACTTCTGAGTTACATAATTCACCCTGAAGCCCATCCAGGCAATCTTTGGGGCGGTTGGATATCATACCCTGCAGTGTAGCACTTCATCTGAGTCCAGAATTTGGGAGAGGAACCAGGAGCTCAGTAGGCCTACCTCTAGGAGCATGAAGTTGGAGGTAGTCAGTAGTGTTGGGAGATTGGACAAAGGTAGGAGCAGCCTGGATTCTCACTGAGCAAGCAGCCAAGGCTTAAGGGCGGGTAGAATCAAGTGAATCTGAGGTGGTGAGTAAAATAGGTCAACTACAGGCATTCTTAGTAAAGGTCTGTTTATTCAACGAGTCTTATTTATGGGATATTAAGGGCAAAGCTCATGATATGCTGGGAACATCTTCAACTGAGTCAGTGTTGTTTTTTTTTTAAGATTTTATTTATTTATTTGAGAAAGAGAGAGAGAAAAAGAGAGCACAAGCAAGGTGAAGAGCAGAGGGAGAAGCAGACTCCCCGCTGAGCAGGGAACCCAATGCAGGACTCGATCCCAGAACTCGATCCCGGGACTCTGGGATCATGACCCGAAATGAAGGCAGACATTTAACAACTGAGCCACCCAGGCGCCCCTAACTGAGTCAGTGTTAGGAGGGCAGTTCTCTTTACCTTAAAGTTATTTCTTTTGACAGAACATGTGACTCAGTAGATCATAGCATAACTTCAATCAGTGTGTACTTACCTAGTCTTTTTTGTTGTGTTTTAGGCTATGTTGGTAGCTTTTTAAAATGTGCTTTATTTTGTAGACCATTGTGATGAATGACTGTATTATCCGAGGGGATCTAGCAAATGTAAGAGTTGGACGTCATTGTGTTGTGAAAAGTCGGAGTGTCATAAGGCCACCATTCAAGAAATTCAGCAAAGGGTATGTAATTTACTTACCTTGTTTCAGTATTGTGCGGGATGCTGCTATGGGTGGTGTATTCCGGGTATTGAGTTGTGGTATAAGGAGCAGGTCTGTGCTATTGTTTGGGTCACTGAGGAGGAATTCACTGTAATGAACGCAACTCTGGTGGTGGTTGTCTTAGTCTAGTTGTTGGTTGGTTGCCAGAAACAGAATCCACTTAAATTGGCAAAGGCAGAAGGGGTTCTGATGAAGAGATGCAGGCATATTTAACGGAATGTAAGGGTAGGAAAAGGGGCCAGGCCTCATAGGGACTAGAACCTGTAATTGGACAGCTAGCCAGAATCAAGACAACTATGCTGACTATTGCTCTGTCACCGAGATTATGTTGTTTCTTGTCGGTCTTTGTCCCTGCATTTCTGCCTCCCTCTCCTCTCTTTCACGTTGGCTTCATCTTCCCCCTTTTCTCATGGAGCCAACCATGCTGCCTCAGCCCCTTATTTATATCAGTTCTCTATTCAGGCTTCAAAAGATATCAGCCAAAGATTTTAGGTCTTATTTCCAGAATCTTGGCAGAGGGAATCTGATTGGCTCAGCTGGAGTTAAGTGCCCACCTCTGGTCTAAACAGTTTTGACTCAGAGGGCAGGGGCAAGTCAAGCCCACTGTTTTCTCAGTGGGAGTAAGGATTATCCAGGGAAGGGCATGGACAGGGCAGGAAAACTGTCCACCATGCCTGATGTGCTGGTATTTTTGTTGTTGTTGTTGTTGTTGTTCTTTTGCCTCTCTCCCTCTTTTCCCTCCTGGTTCCTACCTATGGCACCATCTGCAATACATTGAGTAATTCAACAAGCATTGATTGAGTGCTTTCTTTATGTCAGTCACTTCATTATAAGGTGGGTACGTAAAGATGGATGAAATAGCGTTCCTGCCTCAAAGTTCTCAAAAACCTAGTAGTAGAAACACATACAGAGATGGCTACTATAGAATGTGATACTATAATGTGATAGCCACTGTGTATTGTGACACTCCTATCATAGGGCTGAACTTGGTTAGTGAGGAACAATAAAGAAAGCAACCAACTCAGACTGTAATACCTGGGAGTAAAGCACACAGGAATCATCCTGCATGTCTCAGAATGAAGTCAGACTCCAGGCTTTCCATCACAGACAGGAATGGGAGCAGGGAATCACTGCAAATCATTCACATGAAAACATTTGCTCATTAGCTCAGAAGGCTTTTGGGGGGAAACAAGAAATCCTTGTGGTGGGCTTTCGTGGTTCCACACTGTGACAGGTACTCTGCCAGAGTCGTTGGCTCCCCCTTCTGATAGAGGTGTTACTGTGCTGGCTATGGTCTCGGAAGAGCTCTGAGAATAAATAGGGGGTTTATTGGTGAATGGTAGGATGTGTAAATAGGAATAGTCCACATGAGAAATACAGGAATACAAAAGTGTAAATAGCAACACATGAACAGCAAGTGAGCATGGATTCCTCTGTCCCCCACCCCATGTATCCTCAATATAAGAACCAGATAATAATATCAAGTTTGGAATTTTTAATTTAAAATTCAGGTGCTGACAGTGCTGCTGTAGACTGATAAGATCAAGGAATTCATTGTCACACAAGGGTCCCAGATCAAAAATATGAATAGATTAAGGAAGATTTAAATAAACTATAGGTCCAGGGAGGACAGATATCATCTCTGACAAAATAGAGCACAGGACTAGATAGAGCCAGTGAGCATCCAGCTACTTTATTTTAGTTCTAGTCCAAATATTTTCCATCCCAAGGTACTGAAGTTACTTGTAGATGTGATCATAGAACCATAGTCAGTAACATTTGAGGAATCATGGAGAATGGCAATGATGTCAGAAGTCTGGAGAAAGCCTACTGACTCCTCCTCCTTCAATTCTTCGCTTAAATGTCACTTTTTTTTTTTAAGATTTTATTTATTCATTTGAGAGAGCGAGAGGACAGACGAGCATGGGGATGGGCAGAGGGAGAAGGAGAAAGGAAGCAGACTCCCCACTGAGTGCAGAGCCCAACACAAGGCTCGATCCCAGGACCCTGAGATCATGATCTGAGCTGAAGTCAGATGCTTAACCAACTGAGCCACCCAGGTGCCCCTTAAATGTCACTTTCAATTAAGCTTTTACCAAACTTCCAATCTAGGTGAAGTCTTCACTTATAACTTGGTATTTTTTACTTTGTAGTACTTATCGTATTTGTAATTAATTACTTATATAATCATTTGTTTAATCTCTCTTTTCTTGATTGCTAGCTCCTCGTGGGCCAGATAGTGTCCTTTGTGCTTGCCATTCTATCTCCAATTTCTAGCATAGAGTCTGGCATACAGTAGGTACTCAGTAAAATCAGTAAAATCAAAAATATACAAATTTTTGGAATGTTGAATGGTAGAAAATATATCCCAGGAACTGATGTCAGTCCCCTACAGCATTGTAGGGCAGATTACCGAAAATGTGACCTATGAGCATTTCCAAGGAGGCAGGAATGAGCAAAACACGCATTCATTTGGTGCCAGCCCTTTTAGCTTGGAAGGTCTCGCTGCTTCTGTCTTGCTGTTTCCTTGCACACTGCTTGGTCCAATATTTCTGATTTTGAGCTAGTAATCCCATTCATCTTCAACATTACAGAATTCTCCTAGCCTGAGGATTCCTTCCTTTTAGGAGCAGTCTTATTAAGACGAGATGATGAAGTTGAGAGTACGATCAGTTCTATAAACCTTGACCAAAAGCAAATCACCTTGACATTTTCTTTTGTTCATCTTCTTTTCCTTCTCCAGCGTTGCATTCTTTCCTTTACATATCGGGGACCATGTCTTTATTGAGGAAGATTGTGTGGTCAACGCAGCTCAGATTGGCTCTTATGTTCACGTTGGCAAGAACTGTGTGATTGTGAGTATGGTGTCTTGGCTGGCTAAACGGCCTTACTGCCCCTCCATCTCCCGTCCCTCACATCAGTGGGCCTCTGCTTCTCTGGCCAAGGAGGGTAGAAGTAGTTTCTGGTCTACTCGAATTATTATTGGATTTGGAGTTTTCTAGGCATCAGTAATCACGGCTAAACTTTATCTAACCTCTTCTATAAGATGTTAAACTCTTGCCTTTGATTTTTCCATTTGACCCTCATAACCATCCAAGGTGGTAGTTAACTGTTATTATCCCTATTTGCAGACAACAAGCCTGAAGACCTTAGAAATTAGGGGATTTGACAGAGCTATGAAGTGGTAGAGCTGGGATTTGAACCCAGGCTTAATGAATAGCCATGCCTGCTCTATGGCCTACCTGTTGCTTTACCTCCAGGATCGTACAGTCTAGTGGGGACAAGGGATATGACATTAGGGGAACTCCAAGTAGTTCAGGGTGATGGGCATGTGGGGTACAAGTGGGCCCTTGCTCAGTGGACATGTGGGATCCTGGTCCACAGGAGCCTTGGCATCTACTTGTTTCATCTGGCCAAGGCTTTACGAAGTTGGATTTCTCAGTATTCTTAGATGAAGAGCTTGATTTCATTTGGGATTTATGAGAACATCCTGGGTGAGAATGCTAATGACCAGAGTTGAACTGCCTTAAGAGTTAGGGAAAATGTTTCCTATATTTTTTTTTTTAAGATTTTATTTATTTATTTGACAGAGAGAGACACACAGCTAGAGAGGGAACACAAGCAGGGGGGAGTGGGAGAGGGAGAAGCAGGCTTCCCGCTGAGCAGGGAGCCTGGTGTGGGACTCGATCCCAGGACCCTGGCATCATGACCTGAGCCGAAGGCAGATGCTTAACGACTGAGCCACCCAGGCACCCCAGTTTCCTATATTTTAAATTTGTACCCAAATCCTAGCTTCTAGGAAAAGCCAAGGACTTTTCATGTTATTCCCAATAATACAGAGGCAGCTCTCTCTTCTGGATAATACTCAAGTATAAAATACTTATAGAAACCCTGTGGTCACATTCTGCAAGCCACGAGAGCACAGCAAAGATGGACCGTGCCGTGGAGAGCCACACTGCTGTGGAAAACATCCCAATCCGGCCTGTCACTCAGAATTAAGGGAAGTGGTTGTTTTGCCAAATATTCTCCTCCAAAGGAGTCCCTTCATATATATTAGAGACAGAGGGTCTTTCATTTGGCATGATATTGAAGAAAGGGGGAAAATTGTGAAATCCATCCTGTCCCCTCATTCTATGTGACAGAAGTTGGCTTTCTAAGCCACAGCTGGATTTTTCTTTTTCTTCCACAAAGTGATGACATGCTCATAGTAGCCTAGTGTGTTAGCCCCGCCCTTTATCCCTGGAGCTAAATGTCTGAAACATTAAAATCCAAATGCTCTTCCCAGTGCGTAGGGAGTTCTAGTCTTCTTGTCTTGCTCTGCTTTTTTGTGCCCCTTTCTGATACATCAGTTCAGACATAAGTACCTATTTGCTGAGCCTTTTACAAATTCTCAAGTAATCTCAGGAGAAAGATTATTTTACAACTCTAGAATCTTGGAGCTAGCAGGGACTCTTTTTAGAGTCCAGCTGTCCCCATGACCCACAGATCCTTCCGATAGCATCCATTTGGTGGTCTAACTCCTTTCGGATGTGTGAGGGTATAGTTGCCAGTCAGAGTTGCCCAGATGCCTGCAGGAAAAGCCTCACAGACAATCTTCATAGTCTCTGTTACCGTGCTGTGAGCTTTACATTTATTGTCTCTAATCCTCACAGCGGCCCTGCGGTTTGGTTTTATGTCCTGTTTCCCAGACGAGGAACCCAAGGCTCAGAGACGCTGAATAACTTGTATCTGGAAATAGAGGTAGCTGTAATACTGGCAACATGGAGTTCTTGACTCCTCCTGGGAAAGTCCTCTAGGAAAGAATAAAGAAGCGGTTTCAGCTTTTCACCTCCTCATCTTTTGCCAATGCACTCATGCCTAAGAAGTACCCGTGTTTTGACTTTTGCTGCTGTTTAATTGATCAGTTTGCCCAGAATGCTCTGGAAGCTGATTAAGCATCATTTACCTGAGTGGGCAGAATGGCTAATGAGTGGACACAGCAGGTGCCTCCAGGCTGTGTGGTGGCCGGTGGTACACAGCGGAAGTTTTATTCTCACTGCTCTTCTTTTCCAGGGCCCTTTGTCTGCAGATCCCTCTGTGTGAATGTGTTATGCCTCATGCAGCACATTCTGCTTCTTTCCACCCAGTGCCCTATGTGCTTAATCAGAATTATTAGGAGCATAGGTGTCATAGGACGTCTTTGGGTTAATTTGGGAGTCACCCGGGGAGCTGGCCAGCTGCTGTATTTTGGGAATTGCCACTAGCAGGTAATTCATGGGAGAGAACTTTCCAAGAATGAATGGAGAGCTGCAGTTATAACTTGTTTCTGAGCTACAGATAGTGCCAAGTGTTGCCAAGGCTGTTATCCACCTCGCCAGAGACAGCTTAGTAGTCACTTAAAAAATTCAGACCTTCAAGGTATAAGCTTTCTAAAAAATTCATTTAGCAATCTACCTGGAAATTCCTGGAAATACTTATGATTTGGGCATTTATTAATAATTGGGAAATTTTTAATACAACCAAATCAAAGTATCTTTCATATTCTTCGGTAAAATCTGAGATCTAGACAGGTTAGCATTGTCCTGATGTTGTTAGGGATTCCACATTGTCAGTCAAGTATGTTTTATCAGATCCTCTGACCAGGACACAAGTGAACTCACAGGCCCTGGTGATGTAAGTGCAGTCGGTGAAGACCAAAACTTTCACTTACTCAGCAGGTAGTCTGAGGCACAACTTTAATCTGTATGTAGAAGAAGCCTCCCCTTTCCTTTAACCCAGGAAACAGATGGATCTACCAGACCTTATTTATTGCCCTCAAAATGCTGTGGGTGATGCAGAATTCAAAAGTGGCAACAGTGGATAAAGTCAAGCATAAGGCTTGGCCTAAACTTTCAAAACGAACATATTGGCTAATATGAACCAAGAGTACAAAAGTAGACCCTAATTCTATGCACAGGTGGCTCCAGGGGTTCAATTGATGTCATGAGAATTAATCTCTTTCTCTTTCCCGCTTTCCTTTGGGAGGCTGTCAGGCAGATTCTTCCCTCTTGGAAACAAGACAGCTGGTCTAAATGTCTGTCCTGTCCTCTAGAAACCCCACTGGAAAGAGCTTCCTTTCCCAGTAGTCCCAGCAGAAGCCTTGATGTTGTGATTCATCAGACTGATTTGGCTCATTCCATAAAATAATCCTTGTGGCCAGGCTTGGGGTTTGGGGTTAGGATAGGGGACTGTCATGGGCAGAGGGGTGTTACCAAGGACAATACAGGTTCTGTTACCAGAAGAAAGGGGATCAAATGTTAGACAAGCAAAAAAGTAGATGTCCACTAAATTTAAGAAAAAAGACAGAAAATTCTACAACTCTTGGGAGACTGAATTTCAGTCTGTAATACCTAAGATAACCTGAACTGTCCCTAGCACACAATTCCTTCCCCAAGTTCATGTACACACACTCGCACACACACACACACTCGTACCCCTACCTCCTCCTGCTTGTCACCTGAAGTAGGGAATTGTGGCCAAACCTCTTGTCATTGGCCCTGTCTATTGTATGATATCATGAATGGAGAATATATAAAATAGCATTCCATGCAGCAGACAGGCAACTTTTACTCGAGCAATTCCTGCTGTATTTCCTAGTGACAAGATTTTAATTTCAGGGGCGCCGATGTGTGTTGAAAGATTGCTGCAAAATTCTTGACAACACAGTATTACCCCCAGAAACTGTGGTGCCACCATTCACCGTCTTCTCAGGCTGCCCAGGTAAGCTTGGTGTTGATTATGAAAGCTCGATCTCATTTTCCTTCACAAAAGTAATGCATGCAGTTTTTGTCTCTGACAATGTATTGATCTAGCTAATTTAAAAATTCTCCTGCTACAGATTACCTAGAAATGCTATCTAAAAATGTAACCAGTATCTTTTTAAATGCACAATTGAGTTCACAAGGAAATTTCAAGAGTCAGAAACAAAGAGGAGACTAAACCCACACTATAAGCATGGTTAGGTACTTATTATGAAGTAGAGTGGTTTAGGGTTTGATACTTCTGTGGGGATGAGAGAGAAAGCCTTATATGGCAGAGAGATCCTCTTGAAGGGTGGTCTCTCAATAAAAGTTGATCTAGAGTCAACCTGCCACCAGCACAGGGAAAGTACAAAGAAGCAAGACTCTCTTGGTCTGGGCTCTGGGTGGAAAAAGAAAAAGTCTCTCCAGAGAATTCTAACAATGCCTTCATGTTGGTTGGGATTTTGAACTTACACTTCCCACACTGCCCAGGAATGCCCAAACTGAAAAGTTGGCATAAAACATGGTCTAAGGCCAACGATAGCTCTAGAACACCTAAGGGAAGCAAATATATCCCTTCTTGACCTTGGCTAATGGAATGCCCTTAGGTAAAGCCCTCGTGAGCTCAGAGTTCCCAGTGGCCAAACATGTGAGCAAACAAAAGTGATACATGCTCCTCCTAGAAAACTTGGAAAACACAGAAAAACAGAAGGAAGAAGAAAACCTCATGTCTCCCACCCCCACCCCAAGGCAGTCTCTTTTCTTCTCTGTATGATTTTATGTGGTTGAACTCATGCAACATGGACAGAGGCACACCAGAGATTCACAGATGGAAGATGCTATTTATAGCGAGAGATTTGGCAATATATGAGACGTACCCCTGGATGGTTTAGTTACTTTTCCAATTAAAAAACTCATCACTCAGATCATTGACTGTGGATTTCAAAGATGTAGAAAATCATCCATTCAGATTCTTTGGGGAGGAAATGGGCTGTTCTGCTGTCTCAGAAGAGCTGAAACAGCTTTGGCTCTTGCAAAGGAGGAAGAGCCTTGCTGAGTGAGATTCTCCCTATATTAGGTTCCCACTGTGAGAAAGTATCATCATTCTTAGCAAGTGCAGATCCGAACAGCCCCAGCAGTCGTTTTAGGTTGATTGTCAGACAGGTATCTGATCTGCAGTGAGAAGTATATTGCCAGAGAAATATCTTAACCTCTTTTAACTTATTCAGGGTCCTTAGAACCAACTGTGGTCTTTGGGCATCGATGGCCAAGGCAGGGAGGCACTACTTGGTATTTGAAATCCAAATAAGCGCTGTGTTTGGAGGTTCTGATGGAGGATTCAAGCTGCCTGAGACCTTAGAGATAATTGTGTAGATGGGGAAACAGGCCTAGAGAGATTGGGTTGTCCACAGGGTCAGAGCTGGTTCGTGGGAAAGCCTTGACTAGCTCTTAAGACCCCTTATTTAGAGTCCAGTACTTTCTGCACTGTGACAAGATACTTCCCATGTTCGTTTTTAGTAGTTTCACAAACAAATGCTAACCATCTAGATAATGCTGTTGGTAATCTTCATCCTTAGTAAAGAGGCCTAAGGTTGTAGGACAACTGGCACATTTTTGGAGGGCTCCTCTGCATGTCACTGAGTAGTGGAACAAATGAAAGGCAAACCATCCAGAAAGAACCTGGGTCAGGAACCAAAAAGCCAAAACTGCCTGTAGGAGTCAGACAGACGTGATTGAAGTGACAGCCTATCATGGCTGGCCAAGAGTACAGACCTAACATTCTAAGAACTTCTGATAGTTCATGAGGAACTAAAAATCTGAATATCTACGTGGGATCTCTGAATTTTTGAGTGTTGGCTGCTAACTTTTTAAAAAGATTAAATACTGTGCAGACCAAACATATGTTTGCAAATCTAACATAGGCTGCTCATTTGTAAAAGATGCCTGTGAGAATTTTATATTTTTAGACCTTTTTTTTCTATCCTACCTGTTATTTTCTCTCTTATATGTGCAAGTGTGTTTGTTTTGTATGTATATTAATGCACAGGTGTGTGTACCATATGGGTGTATATATGTACTTGTGTGTATTACACAGATATATAAAACTGTTTAGACCTGTATAAATAGATTCACACTTTCTATTCTGTTTGGAAATTTGCTTTCTTAACAGTGTATCTGGGGCATCTTTTCTTGTCAGTATGAAGAGATTCCCCTCATTCCTTTTCATGGTTGCATGGTTTTCATTACATAAATGTACCGCAGTGTAACTGATCCATTCCCTGGTATAATGGACCATTAGACATTGTACCTGGTTTTTCACTGTTAGAAACTTTGCTGCATTAATATTCTTGTACATACATTGATCAGTTGGGCAAGGATATTTGTAGGATAAATTCTTAGAAGTTGGATTATCAGGTCACAGGGTATGAACTTTTAAAAGTTTTGCTAGATTTTCCAAAATTGCTCTTCCAAACGGTTATATGAATGTACACTTCTGCCCATAGTGTATGAGAGTGCCTCTTTCCCAGAAATCCTTAAATACAATTTTTTGTCTTTTGATAGGGTATTTCTGTTCTACTCCCATCCATGATTTGTCTGTATGTAGCAGGTTTGGGGATTGGATTCAGTTTCATTGTATGAACAACAGAACAGTTTCTTACCTCAAAGGGTGCTCACCTGGGCTTGCCCAGCAGGTGTCATACCAGAATCCAGGGGATGGACTAATCCTTGTCTGGAACAACGTCCCATGTAGTCGGAGATGCCTTAACTCTTCAGATCATGCAGTAATGTATATTTATCCATTCGGGGAATTGTGTTATTTGTCTTCCCACACACACAAAAATATCATCTTGAAGATACGGTCAGTAGAAATATTCTGCTAGCATTGAAGCTGGAAGACCTAGAATTTAGATGCTCATGAGTAAAGAAAAGGGCCCTGTAGTGGTTTAAATCGAAATCAGAGCTGCTGGCCTCCCCCAGCTCCAGTTGGTTGACCAGGTCTTTCTTTCCCCAGGGCTGTTTTCAGGGGAGCTCCCAGAATGTACCCAGGAGCTGATGATTGACGTCACCAAGAGCTACTACCAGAAGTTTTTGCCCTTGACACAGGTCTAATGTCTCTGCCTCGTGTCTCAAATTTGCTTGAGCTCTAAGATGAACTTGGGGACAAAGTGAGCCAGCCAGCATCTACAAAGAGCTCTTGTGTCTTTGATACCTTCCACCCTCTTTTTTTGTTTGTCTGGTTTTAATTCTTTAGAATTTCTCAATCCTTCCAGGTTCTAAGCTCTTAAGACTTTAATAACAGAATGTCTGGAGGAGTTGTGTCCAAATGCTGTGCTTAAACCTTATCTATTAACGGCCCCTTCATACCATTATCTGTGGAACACAGAATCATCTGTTCCCAACACGCCCACCCCTTGGTCCTGTGGATGACGGGATCCTGGCCTGCAGAGCAGAGCACTGTCCCAGCGTGGAGGTTATGAAGCTGGTTTACTGCTCATGGCCATTAGCTGCCCACAATGAACACCGCTCACATGGGTTGCTCCCAGCTTTCCTGAGCTAACACATTTGGCCAGTTGCCACAATTGTTCATGGTCTTGGGGGAGAAAGTGTTGGTGACTTTTCAGAGCCCAGATTCCTGTTGGCTACTAAAACTTGAAAGGAGGGGTGGTTAGCATTTCTCTTCTTCCCGAAATGACTTTAAGTGTTATTTTAACCCAGGGTGATTAATAAAAGACTTTCTAGCATTCTATTCTAGGGCCTTTGGCTTTCACTAGAAGGGGGGCCCCCAGCACCCAGATTTTATTTTTGCAAAGACCCAGGTATGAGTCTGCCATGTAGATGGACTAGTCTGGCAGTCACTCCTTGCCTCACAGTATTTGCAGGCAACAGCATATGCCTTATTTCCTTGAAGACATAGCATTTGTGACACTTGTCTTCTTGGCCTAGAGCCATTCATCCACTCTGTATTTGCCATAAACCTCACAGTTCAGACCAAAATATCTCTACCTGGACCCAATCACATATATACACGGGGGCCTCTTAAATCATTCTGTGGGCACAGAGCCCCAAGGAGTAAATGAAGTTACCAGTGCTGTTTTTAACCATCTCCTGGGTAATAACACAACCCTGCCTGGTTCTGCTCCGACCTCTTGGTCTTAAAGATTTAGAAGGGAGGGTCTGAGAACCTTGGCTTTGCTTAATGCTCTGATTCTGCTGTGAACAGGGTAAGATGGTTCAGCCCTGAAGGTTAGGATCTAGCAGGAGCTGGACGGACTTAATATGTGGTTGTGGGGTTTGTTAAAATGGCTATATGTGATGATTTCCTCTAGGTCAATGTAAAACTGTTTTCCAGTTTTTCTTTTTTTTTTTTTAATGCATTAAAAGATTGACACGTGAAACAAATCACTTGAAGGTGATCCCTCTCCCCCTCTGTGATGGCTGCTTCACTTCCTCGGCCACTTCCCTGCATGCCTGGTGCGCTGCTACAGACTTTGCATTCACTAGTCTGCTTATGGCTCACACCAACCCAGTAAGGGGGATGTTATTCCTATTTTACAGATGAGAAAAAACTCAAAGATCTTAGATAACTTGGTCCAGTCCCTACAGTGACAAAGTGGCTGACCCAGGAGTCACACCCATGTCTGTGTGGCAGCATAGCCATGCAATTCAGCTTTGCCCTGGTCAGATGAGACTAGGCTTACCCTTGGAGCACATCTGCTGTGTGCCCTGTCTGATACCAGTAGTCTGTGATGGTTGCAGGGTTTTTGTTTTGTTTTGTTTTTTGGGGTGGTTTTTTTTTTTTTTTTTGGTCCTTTCCTGGCATCTCCCCCAGCTCCCTTCTTTTGTGCCACCATGAAGGCAAATCTTGGAATTGACAGAGCTTTGATGTTGTCTAAGCTAATCTCCATTCGCTAGTGAGATCTTCCAGGGCACGTCTAACAGATTACCATCCAGCCCGTGTTTGAATACCTCTAAAAGGAAGCAAGCTGACTGCCATGCAACTGACTGTCCATTTTCTTTTTCAGTTTATCCTTTCCAGCTTAATTGAGATGTAATTGACATATCATTTTTTTGACTGCCCATTTTGTTGTGAACAATGAAAATTAAGAGAAAGTGGGATTGTTTAAAGCCTCTTAAACATGATTTTAAAAGCCTTAAGTAACTCAAGTACATGATTGCAAAAATCCAATCCAGTTAGTAAAGAGGAGACATACAGTGAAGTAGAAATTCCCGATCCCAGAATCCCAGTTCCACGTTCTATTTCCCAGAGGCAGCTACTCTTAACAGTTTTGGGTCTATCCTACCAGAGACAGTCTGCATGCACAAGCAGATAGATATGTATACCTTAGCCTCTGTATGCATACAATTGTGAGCACACGGTAGATGTGCTCTTCTCATCTTGCTGCTTTTTTTTCTTTTTTTTAAGATTTTATTTATTTATTTGAGAGAGAGAATGAGAGACAGAGAGCACGAGAGGGAAGAGGGTCAGAGGGAGAAGCAAACCCCCCGCTGAGCAGGGAGCCCGATGCAGGACTCGATCCAGGGACTCCAGGATCATGACCTGAGCCGAAGGCAGTCGCTTAACCAACTGAGCCACCCAGGCGCCCTCATCTTGCTGCTTTTACTTAACAATATGCCTTAGAGATTGTTCCATATTTGGCACATAGAGGTGACAAAAATAGCAATCGCTGATACTTATAAGGTGTTTACCATGTACCTGGTACTCTTCTGAGTTCTGTACATTTATTAACTTTTTAATACAACCACCACGAGGTAGGTACAGTTACTCTCCTCAAGAAACAGGACGTTAAGTAAAGTGCCCAAATTTATGCACCTAATATGACAGTGAGTCAAAGCATTCTGGTTCTAGAGCTCATACTTTTAAAGATTTTATTTTATTTTATTTTATTTTATTTTATTTTATTTTAGAGAGAAAGAGAGCACGAGAGGGGGGAGGGGCAGAGGGAGAGGAAGAAGCAGACTCCCCACTGAGCAGGGAGCCTGACTGGAGGCTTGGTCCCAATCCCAGGACCCCAGGATCATGACCTGACCCGAGGGCAGACGCTTAACTGACTGAGCCACCTGGGCACCCCTACAGCCCATACTTTTAATCACCATGCTGGAATTCCTCCCTGCTATAATACCTTTCATTGCCACAAATTGTATCATCTGGCCAACCCTCGCTGTACAGAAAACTGAGAAAGTATTTTGCTTTTTCAGGCAGGCAAGGGAAAGGGAGTTGGGAGCGGTTATTGGATGAATCATCCAACAGTGTCTGCCACAGACAGGAAGCCCAGTGTCCCCTCTGAGAAGACTATCTCCTTGCAATGAGCCCTGTTGTCTTGTAGCTGCAGTTGTGGTTTAAGAAGCTAAACGGGAGCAGGTTTCATGGGAGAATTGTCTTGCTTGCACTCAAGAAATAGTGTCTTAAAATTCCGTACCATATGGTTGGCACTCTATAGAGGAATCTGCAAGCTGGATAGATAAAAATCCAGTCAGACTGCTTTGTTGCAAGTGACAGAAATCCAGCTTGAGCCAGCTTAAGTAAGAAAGAGGTTTTATTGGCTTGCACAACAAATCATGGAAAAGACTAGGTTGAGAGGCAAGGTAATATTGCCTTGGGCAACTTACTTAATCTCTCTGCCCTGTATCCTAGGCTGTACAACGGGAACGACAATAGTGCCCCCACAGAATTGGTTCGGAGTAAATGAGCTACTATATGTAAACATTAAAGATAGCTCCTACCACTCTGTAAGTAATAATGTTATCATTGCAGGGACAACTATATCCAGAGCTCTTTGTTTTCGATATCTTTTTTTAAGATTTTATTTATTTATTTATTACTATTTTTAAAGATTTTATTTATTTATTTGTCAGGGAGAGAGAGCACAAACAGGGGGAGTGGCAGGCAGAGGAGAGGGAGAAGCAAGCTCCTCGCTGAGTGAGGAGCCCGATGTGGGGCTCGATCCCAGGACCCTGGGATCATGACCTGAGCTGAAGGCAGATGCTTCACCGACTGAGCCACCCAGGCACCTCTGTTTTCTATATCTTTTTCACCTGCACATTAATAGAGGTACGGACTAGACTGCTGTAACAAGAGACCATGGAAATACTGTGGCTCCAACAAGTTAGAAAGTTATCTCTCTCTCACCTAACAGTGCAGGAATAGGCAGGTTGTTCATGGCAAGTAGGTGGCTGAGCTCCATGAAGTCATCAAACACCCAAGCTCCTCCTATCTTGTCACATGGCCACGCTTAGCCACAAGGGAGGCTGTAAATTTAGTCACTGGCTGGGTAGCCAAAACTCTGAGGAAGGAGATTTCTAACAGTAAAAGGGAGAGGGGGAGATTGGACATAGGGAGACAATAAGCAAGCTCTCCCAGGCCTGTGTGTTGGCTTCCTTTTCTCCTCCTGCAAGGGGGCTTTCTCCATGCATTGGGGCACGTGGCAGCTGACAGCTCCAGACTTGTACCCTCCGAGCTTGGTGACCCTGAAAGAAAGGCTTCTTCCCTCCAGTTCTAATTGGGGAAGTCCCACAGAAAGGTTCTCAGTGACTTCTGGTGAATCCCATACCCTCTTGGATTAATCACTGCAGCCAAGGCCCTACAATAAACCTGATCTGGGTCATGAGCTTTCCTCCATCGCCCCGTGGTGGAGAAACAGCAGAGCCCATCACCAAAGCAAGGTGCTGGGCAGACAGAAACAATAGCTACTGCAGACAGTAAAAGAGTCTATAATTATGGACCGATACTGTTAGAAAGGCTGTTGACAGCCTTATGTGTCCTAGGAAAGGCCAGCTGGACTCTGTCTCCATGGTGGCTCTCACCCCAGGGACAATCTGTCACCAGATAATTACCTTTAAAACCCCAGAGAAGAAAGTCTCTTTGTCCTCACAATATTCCCAGAAGAGCAGACCGATGGGAGAACCTCGGTTGGAACTCTTTCCAGTTGGCTTAGGGTAGAAGGGGGATTCACTGGCTCGTGGAGCTGATAAGGCTAGGGCCAGATGGAGTTTCAGGCCATATTCCAAGACTCACAACAGCATCATCAGGGATCTGTCTCTTCAGCTCTTGACTCTGCTTCCCTTTGAGTTGGCTTCGCAAGTGACCCTCCAGCTCCAGTTATTGGTAGAAAGAGCTCCCCTTCTTTTTTTTTTTTTTTTTAAGATGTTTTATTTATTTATTTGAGAGAGAGAGAGCACAAACAGGGGGAGGGGCAGAGGGAGAGGGAGAAGCAGGCTCCCCACTGAGCAGGGAGCCCAATGTAGGGCTCCATCCCAGGACCCCTAGATCATAACTGGAGCCAAAGGCAGCTGCTTAACTGACTGAGCCACCCAGGCGCCCCAAGAGCTCCCCTTCCTTGACAAAACCCCTGGACCTGGTTGTCATTGGCCCAAACCTGGGATGTATCCAGCCTCAAGTCATCATTGTGGCCAGGAAAATGGAGTGCACTGATTGCCTAGACCTGGGCACATACCCACATGGACTGAGAGCTGGCGCCTAGTGGTTGGGGAGGAGGTGATATTACCAGAAGAGGGGATGAATGGCTGCTGGGCTGTCCAGTTCAGGCCCTTCCTTTTCTCCAGTTGTCTTCACTGTCCATAGTCTCCTTGCCTCCCCTTAACCACCTGTCCAGTCTCTCATTACCCTTGGTCTTGTTGGGGGGGTGCCTTATGAGAGGCACCCGGGCCTGGCACAGAGAGGATGTTGCTTAGGCAAAGTGGAGTGTTCAATAAAGAGTCATTTAGAGGATGCTCCTCTGCCTGGAACTGCTTCCTTGTGGACCCTACGAGTCCTTGTGGAGGGACCCCTATTAAGGCCTAGATAGAATTTTAGTTATGGACTTGTGTTCTTGTTTGGGCCCACCCAGCTGTGAGTTCCTGAGGAGTCAGGTGTGAGCCTGTGGGTATCCAGCACATACTTAATGGGGTGATTACATGGATGTGAGCCCCTCCTCCCCTGAGTCCCTACCCAGCCTAGATAAGTCTCACATTGCGGGATCCCCGGTGCAGGGAACAAGGTTGAATGACTGACTCGTGTGCCTCATGTTGACTGATCTGTTGCATGTGGTTGCACAGGGCTCCCGTGGTTAATTGGGATCTGCAGTGCCTCTGAATTAGTCACTTCTGCATGGGCCATTTCACTCAGAGCCTAAGGCCACAATTCCCTTCTTAGTCACTCTGACCCGTGTAGCTGATGACAGACTTGAAGTGACTCAGACAAACATTGCTTCTATTTAATACATCCTTGGAAGCTTCTCAGCTATAAAGAAGGGATCTTGGTGGCTAGGGAGGCCTTTCTTGGTGTATTGATCTGGCCAGTGAGAGCCCACAGGGGTCTAGAACATGGAGCCCCAGACATGTTCTGACTTGCCCTCAGCCATTCTCCAGGACAAATTGGCATTAATGAACATGGTTGGTTGCTTTGGGTGATCAGATCTAGCTGGCTGGTCCCCTGGGGGTAGCTTCTATGGAGCTAAGAGGCCCCTGTAATGACATTGGCAGTGTTGAGACAATGTGTTAAGGCTTGGTTATTAACAGTTGTCAGCAAAGCATCCTGCCAGGTTGGACCAGTTCTGTAAATCTGTGATCGCTGAAACTCTTCTAGAGCCCCCAGTAATGGTGTTCTGCTTTTCTAGAACATACACTTGCTGCCTGTAGGGCTAGGAAGGTGGGACCCTGACCACTTGCTACATCTCCCATTTACTCATTTAACAAATACCTTTTGAGCCACTGCTGAGTGCCAGGCCCTCCCCTACTTAGCTCCTGGAGATACAGTGGAGAATAAGATGGGGCCAGACCCTGTCTGGAGGGATCTTACAGATTAGTAGGAGAGAAAGCCAAGGAAACAGAGTGCTGTGATGGAGGCCTGGAGACCTTTTTTTCGGGTCTTAGTGGTGAAGACTGTGGGCACTGGAGGTAGGCAGACCAAATCCCGGCCCTGCTGTTTACTAGCCTTGTGACTTCGGGCAGGTTATCTCCTCTTGTGGAACCTCGGATTTCTCATCCATAAAATGGGGAACATGCATAGGGGTTGTTATGAGGATTTAAATGCATTCAGACGTGTAAAGCAGGAGTCCTGGCTCAGGGTAAGCGCTCAATGACTGGTAGGTTTAACAACTATTATTAGAAAGTGATACATCTTGAGTGAAATCCCTCACAGTATAAGGGACAACATTCTTACATATTTTTAAATTTAGAAGAAAATTAAAAACATCTGGGGGCGCCTGGGTGGCTCAGTCGTTAAGCGTCTGCCTTCGGCTCAGGTCATGATCCCAGAGTCCTGGGATCGAGCCCCGCATCGGGCTCCCTGCTCCGCGGGAAGCCTGCTTTTCCCTCTCCCACTCCCCCTGCTTGTGTTCCCTCTCTC